GAAAGATGAGAGCAGACAGTTAATAGAAATAACACCTGTGAAACGATCAAGGGATTACTCTCCCGTGCAATGTCGCGCTAGCCGAAAAAGTCAAACGTTAATGATGTATTGGATATAAATTTATATCAATTTAAGAAAGAAATTCCTCTCACAAAAGAAGAAATAATCCTTTTAAAAAGTACCACCCGCTGGTAGCTTCTGCGGGTATTTTAACTCCTAGCTTCCCCCGCAAATGTTATAATATCCTCATTTGTACTTGATTGCTGATGCTATTAATATGCCACCTGTAAGCTATACATGGCGAAGTGCCCTGAAATGCGTGGGCTGCACCGGGCTTTATTTACCGCGCTGTCATTGAAACAGGTGTATGCGTGACTGGACATCTCTTACAATGGGGAAAGGTGGTTGAAGAAAGACATATCGAATAGATAATTTTTCCCTCTCCTTAATTAGCCAATGCGTTAGCCGCATCTATCTGTATGTTGTTGACATGTCGTAATGACTGTCCAGCGGAGCAGATCAAAAAGTAGTGTACGATGTAGCTGTCGTCTGTACTAGACTTTCTGTAGCAGGTTGAGGTACATGGTTTTTTACGTGTGCACCAGATTTGCGCCTTATTTGGGCACGTTTACTGCTCGTCTCTGGAGGAGGTGGAATATGAATTGCCCAACGTTTTGATATGTCATAGCAAAGTGGGTTGGATGATTAGAACAGTGTGACAGGACATACTAATAGCGCTGGGAAACACCGATCCGCCTTGGCTCTTTAGGTACAGAAGTAGGTACAGGTGGATGGTGGTGGAGGGGGGTTGACGTCAGGGCCCCCTATCGCCCCCCCCCCCCCCCACAAACTAACGACTAAAATCGAGGCGTTTAGAAAACAAATTGAGAATGGAGATGTTTTCTTTTAGAGTGTGGGGGCGTTCAACGGCGAAAGCTAGTATGATTTCTAGGACAGATTAAGGATGTACGTTTTTTGCCTGATCATCGTACCAGGTACATGCAGGCTGGTCTGGAAGTGACTGTGACTCTGAGCATATCTCATCAAAACAATGCCCTATGGGCAGACTCAAGATTAGTGATCCCTTAGTCACGACACTGTGTTGTGTAAATTCTTGCCTGGACGTGCCTTGATCAAAACGCAAAAACAACACGTGATTTGCGCGGTACTTCAGGGTTTCATTCTTTGACCCTCTGTTTCATTAGCTAGGTACATGAAAAATCTACAGCCATGTAAGGTGCCGTAGCGTGTAGGCAGTACAGACAGACAGAAAGACAAACATACACACATGCAGACAGGCTGCCAAAGACAATACTTCACACGTTTAGGGCGAACTGGAAGTAACGAAATTGTGCACACACTGTCAGCGTGACTACCTGGCTTATGGCTGGCTAGTAAAATGTGGTTAACATTGTTGCGAGGTTTCAGTGAAGAATCCATGACATGTTATTGTGCGTCTGCAATTTGGGACTAAAATCAATATATTTATTTATGACCTTAACTGAATTGCTAACTAGGTGTGTTAAAGGTCAAAGAGTGTTGTCCCCACCTATGACGTCCCTTACCACTGTCTACGTATGTCACATCACCGAGTGAACTCCCTCAGAGAAATGTTACATATAACGTCAGGCCTCACCTTTCGTTATGCAATCATGCAACAAATTTGACTGCTATTCGGGTGCCCAAAATAGCAAAGGCGTGCCGGCCACAAGCTGGTCTTTATGTCACAAGAAACGTCTGACGAAGAAAGTAGACGTCATGCATGTTGGACTATTAACCTTTTGATTGTCTACAATGTGCTAAGGCAATTTAGTCCAGCGACATAGCTGAAACATTGCACACTTTTTGTCTACTATTTAAATGTGTGTATATTTCAGACTTTGGGAGACAGTATTCTCAGTGCACCATGACATTGTTACTATGCATGGTTATTTCAAGGTGTCTTCACAGAAAAGCAGGATGATTCATTCCCTGGGCATCGTTCCGACAAGATAAAAAGTATGGCTAACCTCATGGGTACGTGTTATAGACGGGTAGAAAGACTTACATACATACAGAGAAGGGGGGGTCCAATTTAGGCATTTGTAATACAGTGAGCAAAAGATATACACAACATACAACTGTGCAAGGGAGGCTAAAAAGTTTGAAAGCTTACCTTATCAAACAACAAATTAATTATTCTAACACAAATCGAATAAATAAAGTTAAGTACCATATAGATACATAATAAGTAAGGAAAATACAAGTATTTTGATGAAAACACGTACGATTAAGATAAACGTAGGAGGTGAAACATCGACTGTACAAAAACGTTACGTAGCCTCATTACAACTTAACGTCATTGTATAACGTTGTACATGTGGAGCTGACGAACAAAATGTTACATCAGACGTCAAGTTTAGAGGACTAATTACTTTATGTCCTTATTTTTAGCCGTGAAGGTCTATCAAAATGTATTAATAGTGTACATGCATCACAACGATCTCAATGACGTTAGCTGACACTTAAATTTTAAAAGTTAGGTGCCGAAAGTAGCATGTCCCTGAGGCGATGACTTGTTGGACAATGGCGGGATGTCATCACAGACGTCACCATACAGGTGTGGAGTTCATACCACCAGTCGGACAGGTACTGGGAAAATCCACGGCTTCTATTTTGAGCACCAAGTGCGTCACTCCCAAATACCGATGACGTAGTTCACAAATCTACTGGCTTCACATGCGGGATCTACCGACTAACTGCGCTTTTTACAAGTTTATTCTAAACGATTGAGCAAATCTACCACCGCTAATTATAACCTCGGCCCTGACCTACAGGTATTTTTGTTCAGGACAAACTGCAACGCCTCATTTTAGATTTTAAACCCGGGGTAATAAGCTTGGTTAACAGGTAGTGATAACTACCCTGGAGGAGAACTGGTTATCAGAATAACAGACTCGGAGGGGGCGGGTAATCTGAGATCTGCCTCCAGAAAACAATGCAATGTAGGGGAAGCCAAAAATTCTCCCCCCGGGCATGCCGCCATTTTGTGTGTACGGCACCAGCGCATAATGTCCGACGATGTATTTATCGCTATTGGGGTTCGACCGCTAACGTGTGTGTAACTCTATTAAGGGTCGATGGCCGCAGACCTTGTTTGTTAGACGGCGTAGTTTTGATGCTGAAAGCACGACCATCTCTTATTAGGGCAACCATATAAGGTATCACATAATGATGCACCCTGTTCATTGGTTACCCTACGCCACATCAAAGACACAATTTTACGAAACACGATTGCAGAGTATCAACCTGACATACTATTAATAGTGGCAACAGATATGTTTATATCTAATTTTGGACAAAATTGTTCGGGTGAATAGTAACTGTGAAATATGTGTATTTTAGTATTGGTGCATGATACAAGTCACCATATAGAACTCATCCCATCGTGACCAGAGGTGTCTGTGAGGAAAACAACGTTACCAGAATAGTATAAAAACATTAATGACATAGCGCCGTGAAAAACAGCACTGATTTTGATAAGCTGATAATGTGTGTTTAGAAATTCACAGCCAAGAAACTAATGAGAAGACAGGTCATTTTCACGTATCATGTGTCTATTCAGAACATCTTGTGCCAACACAGCATGCATATCGAGCAGTGCGCAGCTTGCTGACCGAAGGCAACCCCACCGCGTCACGTGGTCTTCAGCACGGCAGGTGAGTCTGATGACGTCAATGTGCCGCCCCTGCAGGCCAGGCTTCGCCAGCGGAGCATACAAACAATGCCTCCCACCAAATCGGCTAAGCGGAGAGGTCTATTTTGGCGTTTCCTGGATAAATTTAGAGGGAAGGTTTTAAACTACATGACTTTGATCTAGTCCCTGGCGTAAATTGCCAAAAATACGCACGTCCGGGCTTTATTTTAGACAGAAACAGCCCTACAATGAAAACCAAGCATTTCCCATGTTACCTCCTGACTGACAAAACCCCACATTTGGCCCACGGGTGAACCGAGGACACATTCAGCCACTGGGGCAGCTACAGCTGTTTTTCTATTGACTCCTTATCTGCAGCTGGTTGTCTGTATGAACGTATTTATGATACGGATTGTCCAATTGAAATGAATGCTTTTTTAAAAACAGCATTATACTGCAATGAAGGGCAGCCATTTTCCTACACACACTCTCTCGCTTGTGGAGGGTCTGTGATTCTTCCATGTTGAATACATAGACTGTGGGAGTAAAAATCCCTCTTGTCTGTAATTGCAGCAATAGATTTTGATGACAGTCTTGGTCTAGTGGGGAAAATTAAGCGATATCTCCGGAACTGGGAGTGTTGAAAGACCTTCTCTCAAAAAATTATTAAAAAATTTTAACACCTTCAAAGCCACATCTTGCCGAAACTGTTACCTTGATCTGTATGTTCTCCAGTTACGTTTCCTGTAATGTGTCCTATCATACGTACGTGTGAGACGGAAGCCCGCGCCGCTGATACAGCTGGTGATGCTTTTATCCACGTGCGGTCAGGGTCGCGCACTTCCACTGGCACGTTTCCATGGCTATCCGCGGGCCCGCGGCTTTGTAACCCGTAGGAACCAAGCCACGGGCCCGATGTGCAGCGGGTACCAGGCAGGTCAGCCCGCGATCAGACACACAATCCCCTCAGCTCCGTGATGACGCCATCAGCAGTGAGACTTCCCGTGTCTGCATCTGAGAATACACGATAGCATCAGTACAGCTGCCGGGTGCCGCTGATGGACAGATAAATCACGTGTTATCCACCACAGACCTCACCAGACAGCAAACAGGTGGCAAGGACCAGAATGTGATTCCATGATATGACAAAGCTACTTTTGCGCCGTGCTATTTTGGTCTACTCAACAGTAGATGTGATTAGGCCATAGGGAGGCCTCTCAGATGAAAAGCATGGAGTAATAATACGTCGTGCATATAATGACTTCTGACTTGTCTCCTGAGCTATCCATATCCCCAGAGACAACCTGACGAAAAAGGAAACAGTCCGCTTGGCCTCCATGGTAACAACATCCTACTTACGCTACAGGATGCAGCTATCAGCTGGTTGTTATTATGAGAGGAAGTTCTCTTTAAACTGGCCCCTGGTTTTTCTTTGTCCTACAGCTCTTCTAGGTCCGTGTTTCCCGTCGTTTCCTTTCCGTTGTTTTGACGCTCCTTCAGCTGGATAAAATCAAGGATTCAATGTGCTACATTTCACAGACCCCACATACACAATTTTGTTGATTGGTCTTCAGGAAAACATTGGGATAAACATAGGACAATGCATCGTCGCCACTCTAAATTATTATACTTTTCCCATCCCTTTGTTAAGTGTGCAATAGCATCACTTATGACCCAAACATACAGCTTCCCTCCATTGCGCGACTTTCTACTGAAGATCCCACCACTCCCCCACAGGTACAGCGAACGTTCCCCTCTCACTAGTCTCAGGTAATCCGCGATTAGGAAATTAAACGCTAGTCAGATGCGCTACTGTCGTTATGCTTATACCAAGAACATAAAACCTATCCTTTCTCTATTACCTCTCTCTGTGCGTCCTTGATCAGATCATATATCGATTTTCTGACGATCCTGTGACCTAGGATAGTAAAGCCGTTTCTACGAACTCAGCTACAGTACCTAATTCTTCCTCGCGACTACTTTTCACAGTTGGGGATAAGTACGTATAACGAACAAACTGAAGAGCAGGGAGCAGAAGGAAAGGTGGAGGAGAACAGAATAGAAGAAATCCTATCGGTGAAAAGATGTCTGAATAAATTCTAATCCGAACAATGATAAAAAAAATATATATCAACGTATTCTCTTCCACCGTAGATGTTCAGCGTCAGGTTGCAGGTGAGAAAACGGTACCGCGCGGCGCGGTACATCTACCTACACAGTCACGGCGCCAGCCGAGCACTATTCCCGCAGCCCAGCACGGCTCTACCGCCTGTATATAAAACAACTTCGGTGACGCCACACTAAAAGTACTATTTTGTGGGAGTTTTAATTCTGTGGCCTCGTGTTTACGTCACTGCTTGTTTCGCACATCCAGGCTGGGCTGATGGATCATGGGGCGGCTAATTTTAGTAACCGACGGCCTATTTTTACACTTCCTGGCTAAATTTAGCGGCGGCGGGCGCAAAAATAGCTGCGGCGGGGTGTCCATGGCGACCGCGTATTGACGTCAGGGCGGGTACTCCCATATATGGTTGTGTGCATTCGTAATGAGGGGTTTTCCTAGTCGCCGGCGTGGATGGGCTCTGGGCCTCGCGCGGGAGTTTCCCCACATTACATTGCTTCGGCACCATGACTACCACGGGTAGAGTGTCTGGCGCCCTCGCTACTGCCTGCCCGTACCCGGGGCTCACCGGTCACATTGCTCCATTCACGCTCAACGGGATGTTCCGCGACCAGAGCGCTTACAGGTACTTATCGGACCGGCTTCGAAAACTCTTCGGTTATCCGTGCGTGGTTGCCCGCCGGATTTTGTGCAGGCGTACAGTACTTTCTTCGTGCAGGAAGTGGATTATACGTTGCAGAGACAGCCCGAGATTGCATTGTAGCGTGTTGTGATTAGGACACTGGACGGCTTAGTGTGATCAAATGTGGATCCGTATGTGTAAATTGCTATCGTTTTCTTAGACTGCATTGGGGAGTTGTTAAACAAGCTTGGCAACAGACCGCCGCCTGCATTGTACGAGCGCCGTGTTTTCGATTGTTCACTTTCGCCCAAACTGTTTTACTTGGCACTAATACGGAAAGCTTTTTTTTGCGGTTGATTTACACTTCATATTATCATTTATTATCATTGCTGTGTTTTGTTATTGCGCGCGGGCAAGGTGCGTTTTCCCCGCACCGCATGCAACCACCTGTTATTACTCGTGTTCGCTTGGATGCGATCGCTTCATTCATTCGGCCCAGCTTCCTGCCCCATTCATCCACAGAGCTCGTGGTGTTTGTAGATGGCCCACCGGGAACTCCGGCGGATCAAATAAATCCGCCAAGACGGGATGCAAAAATAGTCTTCATGTTATTTTCATCCATAGTGTTGTATAACGACGTATTCTAATTTTTCCTCAGCGATGTGCCGGCACCAGCTGAGGCGGCGGAGGGCCGTCAGTTGCAGGGCAGGTGTGCGGGGGAGGGCGGGCCCTCGTCCGCCGATCGCCAGGAGCGCCGCGGCGGCGGGACGTCCAGGCCGTTCAGGTGGGTGAAAATTTTAATTTTTTTCCCAAACCAAGATTACTTATAAAGATATGAGTACAAGCCTGGTTTCGCTGTTTTTCTCTCCGTAAGTTTCTATTCCGTAGCGTGATCTGCACGCGTATGGCCGTCACATGCAGCACGTGATGGTATAGGTAGGACTGAGCGGGTATTCCTCGCACTTGTTTCTGTGCCCTACTTCCCTCGTGATTGGTCAGCTCCAACATCTGCCCGCCTTTTTTGCTCGCTACATTGTTGTAACTTTCACGAGGGGATTTTTTCAGAGCTATGGGCTCTACCTTGTGTTTACATATGCAGATTGTAAAAAACACATACACACCCTGTGTCAGTTCCCATTTCAAGCCTGGCTGTATGGCCATGTGTACCGTAACAACCACGAGACCCGTTGTTCCCGGTCATGTCATGCTGCACGTGAGGCGGATAGAAATTCCCAGGACATTCCCTGTTCCGCATTCTCATGGCAAAATGTATACTTCAGGATCGGTGCTCAGCAAGAGCTATTATTGTTCAGATTACGTCATGTCTTCATACTATATATTGAAAATCATGCTCGCACAGCAACACAGTTACCATATGTGAGCCAAGGAGCGGCGCCAGGATTACCAACATTTCAAAGTTGTGATTTATTCGAGAAATTGCAGTGTGAAGTTGGGAGTGAGTGCGTTTGAACAGCGACCCGCCTATATCACCCTGGAGCGCTACCCGTACCTGCCGCCACCACCCCCACCCTGCTTGCCCCGGGCGTTTTCCGCGTACGTATGGTAGCAACCACGGCCATTCATAGACCTTTACCGTTCATTCATAAATTCAGCCGCTAGCACTGCCGGTAAGCTTCCCTCCCACGCACAGTCTTACTTAGTCTGCGAACCTTTTTTTCTGGCTAAGGTAGAGGGATTACATACTCTGTGCTACCGCAAGATGCCATGTTTCGTCAGGCCGCTAGAATCTAGGTTTTAGGTGTGCTAGGCGACAGTGGTGCGTAAGAGTTGGCCATGGTGGAGAGTAGATATTCTTACAGCTCCCCGGAACTCATTGAATTAGTGTAGTATTCGGAGGGGAAATGGTACGTGCGAATAGCGTGATCCTGTCGGTCTGGTAAATCAGACCCTCCTTAAAAGATCTCGCCTGTACTAAACTGAGCTCTCTTTTACGTAGACGGTCTGCTATATTTACACCTCAGCAGTAGCTGTTGATCACACTATTACGTAAATCAAGTGATGACATCAAAAGCGGTATGCCTGCAGCGACCTCAGTATTGCTTTATAAAAGGGCCCTCTCTATCTTAGATATCTAAGAAATCGTTCCACGATACGACGGTATGAGGGAACATACTTCTTACATACTCAATTTCCTTGTTGTTATAAACAGTTGGGAGGGCGCTCTTAATGATTGAAATTCCGTCCGTGTTACTGCCTGCCATCTCTCTCCCACGCTTCCCGTGCAGGAAATTCAATAATAGAAAGTAAGGATGACAAAGCTTCTTGTAGAATTCGCGCGGTAGATAACTTAAGCAGAAAATGCTATACTTACAAAGGAGGAAGGTGGGCCACTGGATGTGCTGTACAAGAATTGAGGTTATAAACTAATGGCGTTGTGCGTTTGTGATCTTGTGCGTTTTTGCTCCCAGGTTTTTACTGTCTTGAATTGACTTTCTATAGGCTCTGCGAAAACGATAAATGACTCATCGATCTATAACATTACCAACACAAACTCAAATGTAGGTCTTTATAAATAAGAAACATAGTGTGTAAAGGCATCATCAACGCAGTCAGTCCTGAGGAGAACAATGTCAGATAGATTATTTGAATATAGAGTTTGTATATGTCAGTCAGATGGCGGCCCCATACTTACATGTAGTCTCTCTCGAGAGCAATGGTTTGTTTCTTTGATTTATGGTACTTAAAATGGCTTTTCCTTGAAAGATTAACCCCAGTTAAAGTGCAACTCCGGCCTAGCCAGACATCCGACCGGTACATGTCCGGGTCCGTCACGGCCCACCCCAGGACTAGCCGACCTACCCTTCGCACCGGTCCGCATTTTCAAGTTTGAAGAAAATCCAGACTTGTCTAAACACTTGTACGATCGTGCAATATCACAGAATTGGCTGTCCAAATCTTGTGGTGGAGTATTTGACTGGCGTGTTTTCATACATTCTAACGAAGTGTGACGGTCCAAGACAGTAGTTATTTGAAACATTTGTGCCTCAAGTCACGACACTGACATGTATTACGGTAACATTCATAATGAAACAGACTGCCATGCCCAGAAAGAAAATAACTCTAACACGAAGACCTTTGACGTTTGACATGTTTTTTTCATGGTGATCGACTAGAGCCAACATTATAACCAGCTCTTCCATAAGATAGATTGTTTGCATGACATTCCAGGTTCCTCGCCTGCTTCTTCTCTTCCAAGTACAGGTACATATGGGCGGCGGCAAGAATTTTCATTGATTCACGAACTTCTTTGTACCAACAACTTTCAGGGGGCGATTTGTTTATCTCGGAGGCCATGGTCATTTTATCGGTCTTTACGCGCCTCTCATTGCTGGTACAGTACTGGAGAAGATCATGGCATTGAATGATCAAATATATAAAACCTTGGTCGTCTCTTTCGGGGTAACCAGATCTCTGTGTCTGTGCAAATACTTCGATCTGATATTTTAGACCGTTCATTGTCGACAACATATCTAAACAAACGGCATGAACAGCACGGAGGGTACGAGTTTAATCTCCAGTGATGGTGCGGTCTAACGGTGTGTAATTTAGCGGCCCGGTTAGGTACTCAGTCCCGGGATAACGGTGAGCTAATTGTTATGCAATAAAGTTTGACTTTGACCTATCATATTCCGCCTGTACTCTGAGGTGGCCAGATGTCGTACAAAAATATCGAATATGCACGCAGACATACCATCCGCTACATGTGATATTTTAGATTTAAACAGATCCATGGCCTAGGTTTGTTTTGGGCATCTTTTCGCTTTGTTTGGTGTGTCTTGTTGTGCGTGTTTTCGCCGGTGGTCTCACTGCGCATCACGAATCTCCCGAATGATCCTAACAGGTGCTCTACTTCATTCGGCACGATTTCGCCTTAGTGTCACCACTTCAAGTAGCAGTGCCGAGAAGAAATGAATCACCAGCCACTTTAAGATCGTCTCACGATAGGGCAACGCAAGGAGGTTCAATCACTTCATTGGACAATGTCACGGTCTCACAGACCATTCTCCTTCCGAGAATGAAGAAAGTGGGCGTGTCGGACGCTAGTTCCAGGAGGCGCTTCCGGCGTAGCCAGGTAGCAAGTTAACCGCACCGGAAGGTTATATCTCTCCTATATCGTACCTGGCCACACTTGGCAGCCGACATGGTGAACAGACCATACGGGTACGATATGCATGGGCACATTTGGGTGTGTGTTTTTTTCAAGGGAAAAAAAGGCGGTTGGGGCGATCACGGCTCACACCGGGCTCGTGGTTACCCTACCGCAGCAGTCCTGATATGCCGGGGGTGATCAGAAATAGGCACCTGTTACGGAAGCTTCGAAAGTCTTTGCGAACAGGCATCAAACTTTGGCAATTTGCAAACAACGGTTCTTTTCCAGTAAACTTTCATGTTGATGACATTGCATCAAGTTGAACACGAAGTTTTTACTTGCAGATCTACGAAGGGAGCCTCCAAGCAGCGGCGGGACCTGATCAATGCCGAGATCAGCCTCCTGCGCGGGCACCTCCCCCTGGCCGAGCCTGTCCGCGCCCGCCTGTCCTACCTGCAGGTCATGTCACTCACATGTGTCTACATGCGCAAGTGCAACTTCTTCTCCAGAGGTGGGACATGCCTTTATTTCTTTGTTCGCATTCAAGTGAAAAACGTTTATAGGGTAGTAAACCTTTGGTGATAAATACGCGTGGGAGGGGTTACAAGTCTGAGGCATTCTTATAACATGTAAACCGCAGAAATCAGTTGCTCATTTTATAGGTCATCATAGTGGTATTTCCAGTGGACACCTCATACTTTATCAAGAGGAGGTATCCATTAAAACATCTACACAACTTGAGATTGCGCCAGCTAAAAAAGGAAAAACAAATAAACAATAAACTGTTGTGTAAGTTACCACACAGGAATGAGTTTGGGCTTGTAACAGGGAAAGAAATAATCCACCACCCCATCCCCAATTAACTCAACAGTATTGGACTGATATCACATCCTGTAGACCAAGTTGTTCATGTGGCAGATTATTACTAACACTGGTTTTTGTTTTGTAGAAGTCCTGGAGAGCCAGTCATTGTTGCCAGGGCAAGCAGAAGTGGCGCACGCTGCGCTGCAGGGTCTGCACGGTTTCCTCCTGGTCACCACGCGGGAAGGGAAGATGCTGTACATCTCGGAGAACGTCACCGAGCATCTCGGACACTCCATGGTGAGGACAGACAGTCATCATAGCTTACACTGCTTGGTAACTTCTAGCTTAAACTGTCATGGCATCTGAAGAGTGACACCTTCGACTGTAGTGACTAAAACCACTGCATGGATATGACACCTAGAAACAGGCATATATAATTCTGTCTGATGCATCATAACTAGTCATAACATGTAAAATCAAAATAATAATACAATATACACCTTTAGTCTTTAGGTCACATGTTTTTGCTTTAACATCGAGCTACTAGACTTCTATCACATAAAAGAATTTAGATGAACCAATGTTTTCTCACTTTGTGTCCCTTCAGGTTGACTTGCTCAGTCAGGGTGACTCTGTTTATGACATCATTGACCCAGCAGATCACGTGACTGTCCAGAACAACATTCTGCAGACACCCTTCACCACTACAGGTCAGGCCAGAGTACCTATGTTGTAATGTATCACTATAGGCACTGGCAAGTTGACACGATAGACCAGAAGTTTTCTCTGCTGCTCTTAATTTGAAGGTTCACCTATAATTCAGGATAATGTATTTTGCTGAGTGATAAAACCTGATCACCTCTTACTTCTGTTTGTGGACAGGTCCTACAGTGACGACAACAGAACGTTCTTTCTTCTGTCGTATGAAGACTTCAAGGACCATGCGCCGCCAGACTAACTATGGGGACAACAAGGTGAGGGCAAAATCTCTAGTTCAGGCTGTTCCAGATAGTACAATTGCCATATGGTACCAAGTTTGATGTGTACTGAAGACTACTCGGAGGTTTAAAATCATACAATGTATAGAAAACTTAATACCAATACATCACAGATAATCTTGAGAAACCGGAACACAAGCAACTAATATTTTGCATTAACCAATGGTACTTTGCAACATATCTTGCAATTCACCAAGAATGATACTTTACTTCTTCAGATCGTACATGTTCGAGGGCACTTCCAGGTGTCACCAGCAGGATGGATCCCAAACCCCATCTTTGTGTCCATCTGCCTGCCCATTGATGTGCCCTCAAGCTTTGGTGACTTTCCTACAACATTCAACACCAACACCTTTCACTCTGTACATGGACTGGATATGAAGTTCAAGGAAGTTTCTGACAGGTAAGACCAAGTTTTTTTTGTTTCTTTGTGGTATACGTATGTTACATATTTGATGGAAGGCTGAAAAGTGCATCCTCTAACATGTGTCTTTTAAGCAAATGACTGTTGTCTAAATTTTTTAGTCTGTCTGTTTATGCTTGTCACATATTATTTCTCTACAGAACTGCTTAATCGCAGGTTCCATTCACGTATTGTGACTTTGTAACAGCTCCCCAATTCCCAGTAAAGGATCTGTATCTGTATGGTATACCCAGTATAACTGTCCTTTGGCATAACATGTGAGGATGAATCACAAAAAGTAAACGGATTTGACTTTGTAGCCCCACCCTTTGCATATGCACAGGTCAGTCTTACACAATACAATTACATAACCCAAGCTTAACCTTCATAAGAAGGGCAAATGAACTGTGACGCAATTCTAGGAAGAGTGGGTGTATGTGTAAGCTAACACTAATGGACCTTTGGAATATCATAGGTCAGTCCGTTTGAATTTTTGAACAGTACTTTTTACCGTACCATCCACTTACATGCACAAATACATTTAAAAGCTCAGAGCTTTAAAATAGAATATAAATACTTGCCAAGCTTAAAGGTTTTCATTGCCATTTGTTTGTTGGCTTGTGGATTTACAAGAAATGTGGATAGGTGTCAAAGGTCAAGACTTTTTTAACAGCCCTTAACAATAGTCTATGACTAGTTTGGCAACCCTGGCTGTTGCAAGCCGACCCAATAAATAAATTGATAGAATAACAGACATTCATTCAAGCCCTTGCCTTACGTTTCTTCGGTTGCTTACCTCGGTTTCCAAATTACTCCTGACCTCTCCAACGATGACTCCATTCGTGAACAAACTCGACACATGTATACAAAAGCAAACTCGCTCATCCGCAAATTTGGCCACTGTTCACCCGAGGTAAAATGCATTCTCTTCATATCACACTGTAGTGCAATGCATTGTGCTCAGCTTTGGTCCAACTACAGAGCCGGAACCATGCATAGATTACGAGTTGCCTACCATGATGGCCTAAAAATGCTACTGTCTCAGTCAAGAAGTACTAGTAACAGCGATTTATTTGTGAAGATTGTATTTGTTTGCCTCTCGCTTGTTAAAGTCTTCTAAAGTCTTGTTAAAGAATGCCATCATCAAACTGCTACTTTGTTTGGAGGCTTAATTCCCTCCAGCCTGTTCTGGTGATAGTACTCAGTACTGTAGATTGACCTGCCCACTGTAAGAGGGCCTCCTTGTGGCAGGATTGCCCATTTAACTGTACATACTTCAATTTATGTTTTTTTAGATGTGTTTATGCCATGTCATGTATGTATGTCACTATGGGCCTGAAATAAACAATTCATTCTTGTTGTCGCCATAGTCTCCAGTTCCTGCTGGGGTTTGAAGGAACAGCACTCACAGGACAGTCCTGGTACAGCATGCTGCACCCAGACTTCCTGCAGCTGGCAGGACAGCAGCACAAGCATTGTAAGTACAACTGCATATGTACTGTGCTCTGTAGAACAAATTGGATGTCTTTTGACAGACTCTTTTAAACTGATAGCACTTTTGAAAAGTCTGAGGCCATCTCTAGGTCCAAGGTTGCCTGTTCTAGGTCTATTGAGCTGGAGGCTGGAATCTTCATTTTAGCTCATGGCATGGTGCTACCTTCAATCAACATACTCAACATCTGCTTGAAGATGTAGCTCCAACTTGATTAATACCTCATCATAAATGTAGCCTTTCAAAACTCACAAAAGGAATCTGCTTTAATGTAGCTATCACAGGATAAGACATGCAGGTGAAAACACTCACTTCTTGATTTGCACTGTGCTGACTTCTTGTTTCCTCCCAACAGTATTGGATCAGAGTCGAGACAGTGAGACCATGTTTGTTGCTCGCATGAACACCGTGGGAGGGGGGTGGGCCTGGGTGCATGTCCTGATGCAGTTGCAAGCCCTGGATGTCAACTCTGAAGAGCTTTCCATCATCTGCATGAACACTGTGATCAGGTAAACATGCCTTTAATAACTAACAGCCTTTACTGCATCATACAGTTCATGCCTTTTACCTTAATCCGTGTATTTCATTTGACCTAAATTTTTGTGATCTTGTAAGTTGTAATTGTTATCTACTATCCAGATTTTGGCTCTGGAATGGAAATTTTTTTCAAGCTTTGTGGGGCCAAAATCCGGATGGTACCCAGGCTAGTTCTGTACTGAGTTAAAGCTAATTCCTATATTATAACTAAGACACTGTTAGAGCAACAAATGAAGTTAACTGAATGTAATGGGGGACATCAATGTTCATCATATTCTAACCTTGGCTCTTTTTCTTAATTTCAGTGAAGATGAAGTGTCACTCTATGAGGCACAATGTCGCTCGTTCTCCCAGTTCACATCCTCCCTCCAGCACCAGGAAGACCCTTTGCAGACCCTCCACCCTCTCAAGGTTCCACCTGCCTCCCCATCAGAGCCCAGCCCGTCATGGTACAGCCAGCCCCCCTACAGCAGCCACAGTCTCAGCTCAGAGTTCAGTTTCGAGTCCCCAGATGACATTTCTGCTATCTCCAGCCTGGGGTTTGACTACCCGGACCCCACCCAGCCCACCACCATGGCCAGCGGCTTCCCCAGTATGGAGCAGCGGGATGTGACACCACGTTCACTCAAGCGCCAGCTGTCGGAGGAGCTACCTCTGAAACATGAGCCCAAGTCTCCGAGGATGTGCCAGTACGGTGACACCACCAAGCAAAAGCAGCATCCTGGCCCCACCACTACCACCACCACCATGGAGTTCCTGATGGGCATCCTCCCGACCCCTACTGAACACCAGGCAACCTCCCCGTCCTTCCAGAGAGGATTCGCCTGGTCGTCTCCCACCATCCCATCCTTTGCCTCCCTAATGGCTTCCCACACCAGCCCACCTGCTCTCAATCTCCTGGAGTCAACCACCCCTTTCTTGCAGAGCAGGCCCTCCCTGCAAGGGTTTTTCCCAGACCCTCAGACCACCACAGATGTTTCCCTGTCCCCTGGCCTGGCCACCGGCGGTCTGTGCATCCCCACACCACTCCAGCTCCCTCCACGCAAGCCCTCTGCCACCACCAGCAGACCTACAGCCCAAACAAAGCTGGAGGATGTGGAAGACTCAGGGAGTAAACTGGTGCCACAGTGGATCCACAACATGCCCCCGACTCCAGACACACCAACCAGTCACTCCTGTCACGTGTTCCTCGAGAATGAAGGTCCCCCGGCAAAAACAGAAGTCTTGCCGATCCCAGAGTGTGTCCTGACTCCCGACTCCACCAGCACATCTCCACAGAGTCTGAACGACTTTTCCGATGATGAGGTGTCAATGACCTTCACATTTGACACTCCAGACAAAGACAATGATTCAAAAAACAGCCTCGTTTCCAAACTTGCTCACTGTTCCAAGCAGGAGGATACTTCTGAGAACAGTCAGTTGTACTACAGCAAACACGAGGCTATGATGAGCAAGCAGGACTCATGTGTTGTTGATCCCACCTGCAACCCCTCAAAAAAGCTATCCGTTAAGATGGGGACAGCTTTGGATGAAGTCACATGGAATGACATTGAGAACACTGTCACAAATCTTGTCAAGGCGATGGACCCCAACATGCTCCAGACCATCTACACGGCCGTGGATATGAGCAGTCTCTCACCCATCCAGGAAGATGAACTAGACTCCTCCACCAAAGACAAGGAGTCTGCAGAGAGGAAGCCCCCAAGTGAATCATCCTCCACACGTAACTGGCTCCCTGCCCCACATAGACGAGAGCACGAAAGTCCGCGAGCTCGCGTCCCGTCCATGAGTGATCTGTCACGCTTGCAGGCAGCAGCCTCCATGCCTGATGACACCAGCTTCTTTGAGGAGTTGTTGGAAGGTACAGCACCCGACATAGACAAGGCAACACATGGCCAACAGTTCCATGGCAGAGGAGGAAGCAACAATTCTAGCCAGTAAGTATTCTTGTGAAAGACCTTTGTTTCTCTTTTTGCAAGGACTGTTGGTATCTTTTGCTATCAATTAGCAAAAAAAAAAATGGGTGGGGATGCATGATTTAACAATCACACACCAAATTCTCCATTGTGCATAGTCAGTACAAAGTTACTTGAAGCTCAGTAAAACAAGTTCAGAAAGTCATTTTTGTGACAAAGTTCATACAAATTCATTACATAGTCATTAATTTGGTAGCAAGTTATAGTTATGTAGAGTTAACCTGGTTCACATGATTCCTAACACCAGACATACAACGTGTACTTAGGACTGTTTACTCCTTTGTTTTCCTACAGTTGCTGGGATGACAAGGATTCAAAGTGATTCAGTCTCGAGTTCCAGTGAATTAGTAGAAACAACGTATAGGGCCCTGCTGGTCAGGCCCACTATCATCACAACCATGGCTGGACCATGTGGATCAATCACAGTACAAATATATTGTGTCAAGTTCAATGTCTATTGTATGTGACAAATGATTTTGTCTATGATTTGTAAATTGTATCATTGAGTACAGATGCTATGTTAGATTTTTGAGATGTTCATCATGTTGGTACAAGTTTTGATGGTAGTGTTACATACTGAAAGGTATTGTTATCACAATACAAGTATGTGCCAAGCATAAAAGTCAACACCATTTGGATAATAAAGTTACTGTAGGACTTAAGCACTAGCAGTACTCATACATGCAGCCGCCATGACCAGTGCCACTAACCAAGTGAAACTTAATGGGTGCTAAACCACAAAAATTCAACAAAGGTGCAAAGTTTTAATCTCTGTTGTATTCATGCATTTTGACATTTTGGTTTATTAAATCATATATCAACTCCTGTACTTGTGCATCAGAGCAACTTGGTGTCATCTGGCACCCTTAGAGTGCTACAGGTTGAATAACATTTCTACTTACACAAATTCACGGTACCTGGAAGTATCTGCACAGGTGTCCCAGTAGCACCATTAACTTTAAGTGACTGATGTAACTATACCCTTTGGTTGTGAAAACTGTAATCCTTTCTGTATCAAGGAAACTTGTATTGTACTAATGTTTGCATTCCAAGTATGTCATTGTGCTGTTATTTTTGTACAAAATTTCAGATTCTATATTGTTCTATGTTTTAGGCAGAGCCTAATGATTAGTTGAAAATTGGAAATTTTACTTTGGGCTGGGTCCCATGGCTATAGTTGTATTTTGTACTTGTCAAGGTAAACCCTGGGGAGTTGGGGCTGAATATGGCTGCAAGGAATGCTATATCCAATGTAGGTCTGTGCCAACATATGGGAAAACAAGAGTTGATAGGCCAAGACTACCAAATGTTATTAAACATTCAACTACTGCTCAAAATCCCCTCAGGATTCACATTGATATGTGCATTATAGACATCCTGTAAAGATATGACATTTCTAATATCTGTGCAAGTCTTGTAAATGTGTATGAGGTAATCATGAGATTGGAAGAGAATTATATACTATAATCTGTATAGAAAAACATGGATGTTTCAGTAAATGTAAGTATCTGTGAAGCAAAATTTAATATATTTTGATACCAAATCTTCAATACCTTCCAAAGGTTATTTTGTGTAAGTCATAATGTCATGGTGCTGTGGTGAGATATTAGTATATTGTGACAGTAAGGCCAAATTAAGTGTAATTTGCTGTATGATATGACATGACAAGGATTTTGGTTGGCCCAGAATATCAACTCTTTCTGTAGACGGTCTAGAAGTGAGCTCTGACAAGGCATGGATAATGACTGTGAATGCTAGCATGGTGATTTTATCATGTAGATAAAGTAGGCTGCACAGACTATACCAATTGTTTCTTTGGTTCTCTTGGCTTTTACACATACAAATTATGTAGAAGTGCTTGAAAATAAGTCCTAAAAAAGGGGAAAAAAAGTAAATGTATCTTGTACCTTTTGATATACAACATGACATCTTACATCTGGCCTGTTTTTATCATTTTTAACATTTGTGTGAGAACCAAGAAATGTAATTGGTCCATCAATATCAAGACAACATGGCACTACTGAGTATTAGAGCTCGTGCTTGTTGCCTACTAGGCCAGGATATTTGACTTGCTGTTGAGAAGCAAAGTTGAAAAAGACAAAGCACGGTATGCCACCTGTGAAATTAAGTAAGTTACTGACATGACTTAAGAAGTTCTTAGAAGTTAGTAAGACTTTGGTACACACTACACAAGACAGTACTGACTAGTGGTGAATATTGTTATACTGAAGACATTTGTACATTTGTAAGGCTAAAATGCTGGTATGCCCTGTGTTACAGTAAGGGCTGTACAGTCTCTGACTTAATGAGAAGCCAGGAAGCCTGGTTCTTACCATGACAGGCTAACAACATACATTCCAGACTTCTGTACAATCTCTACATGGAAGAAATAAAACTTGTCAACTTGGTATCAATGGCTCTGTCTGGCCTGCTATTGTGTCCTGCGTCCAACCCATGATTAAAAGGACCCTGGATGGCTGATGATGGAAGTGTTGGCTGTTAGTTTTCAGTTGGTGTGGTGAACTTTGAGAGGTTACCATTAGTAAGGCCTGTAACATACAATACATAAACATTGAGCAAATAAAGACTACCAGCCTAAGATCACATGAAGCTAGACAGACCAGAGTTCTATCTGCCATAACTATGTTTGCATGTATCAATCATGCATTGAAACTAGTCCTTGTGTCAGGTCCTCATCAAGCTTTCCCACAAAAGTGGGCTCCCTGTGCGCAATATCAAATGTAGCTGTTTGGCATGGTTCAACTGCTCAGAGCAAGAGGGACCTGTCCAGAACCACGATCTGGTGTAACGAGGTTGTAACACGCCCCAAAACAATAAGAAATACCCCTGGTACAGTGCTGTTATATAGGTAGGTGAAAGTTATGACCTACTCACTGCATGTTTTTTATTTGTACTTGTTAATAGCTGCAGTTTGCCTACCTTTTGCTAGGTGGCAATCATTCACCAGCAAATACAAAGTCGCTTGCCAATGCTTAAGACCATGTTCTGATTTTTCCTACTACATATACATGGATGCTGCATGGTGCTTGATTTATATCATGCCCAGAAATTAGAATGTTGATAACCAAATAATACAGGCCTCCTTATGGCACAAAGGAGTTTTACTTTTTAAAATATTGGTAACAAAAAAGCCCTTTTGAACTGAATCCATGTCACTGTACATACTTTGGTACTGGGTACAGTCTAGTAGGGTAAAGCTGTTGTTACCTCAGTGAAAAGTTGCTATGACGTCTCCACTTGTGGATACAAGGTAGCAAATGTGAGGAATCCTGTATGACCTGGCATGTCCTTAGGTGGAACAGCAGACTTAAATGTAAAGTTCTGTGCTGTTTCACTTCCTTCCGACTGAGTCTGTACGCATGTGTCAGGTGATCCGAGGTCCGGCTCAGGGAGGGCAATGGTCCGGACATCAAATGTTCGCAATAGGCATTCCATTGTGGTGATGTCACAGAATCCGTGGCTGCGCAGCTTGTCACAGGTGCGCTGTATCTGCTCCACACATGGTGAGAAGGAACACAGTCTCCCACCTGCACCACAGGGATACAGACATAAGTTCGCAGCAAGTAAGCTACATCATAAGATGCTTCTTAGTTGGGAATAGCTATTAACAGGATAATGCTGTCAGTAACAGAAAAGACTAAGGCTATTGACAGGACCATCCTGTCAATAGTACAAATTTTCCCACTATTGACAGGATCGTCCTCTTCTGGTACCTCTTCTTCCGGCGGGCCTGCTATGGCATTCTCGCTACCTGATGCCACCATACACTGGTGGGACGTTTGACCTTGTTAGACTTATGTTTTGAACTCACTGCATTTGGAGCAAGCATCTTGATGTAAAGTAAAATAGAACATTTATGCGATATTATCAGAAGTATCCTAAGGCCCTAAATCCTTTCATACTTGGGTTTCATGTCATAATAAGCTGAATTTGGCTCGTTTAAAACTTGAATGATTATCCTGTCAATAAAAGAATTTTTTACAGGATTTTTCCTGTCAATAGTGAAGAATTTTGCACTACTGACAGGACCATTCTGTCAATAACAGAAGAAAATGCACTATTGACATGACAGGATGATCCTGTCAATAATGCAAAATTTTCAGTTATTTAGTATAATCTTGCAAGGTTATTTCACTTTGACCCTGTCCTCACCTTTCATCATTCTATAACGTTGTATTTATTATGCACTATTCCATCTTCAGTGCTTTCTCATATAGCTAGGACCAACCATATCTATTCCAGTAAGTTTGGGAACAGGAGAAACCACTGATGGTTTTGATGTCTACATTTTGATATCCATTCAAAGATCATATGACAGATGATGTCACGTCATTACCACTATACCATCTTCACTACTACATAGACTCCTGCAGAATAGAAGCATAAGTAAAGGATAATTAACATCAACACCCTGCCATCCAAAAAATGACAGGGTGATTACAAAGTAGTTTACATTTTAATGGAGAGACATTAGTGAAAGAGAGGGTAGGATAACTAGACATGCACAGCTGTACACACAGCCCAGGCATGCCATACCTTCAGCATAACTAGGATACAAACCTGCTTTCTTTAGAGCCAGTTTTGCTGAGACCACTGCTTCCCAGGGGGACGGCAGGTCCAGAAACACAGCATCAGCCACGTCAGACAGCCCAAACCCATCCGTACACACATTTCTGTGTGTCACTGTCACAAGGTTGCTGAGCCCGTGATCTGCAAATTCTTCCCGGGCTTTCTCTGCACGCTGTTGGTGGAACTCGAAGGTATAGAGGTGTCCGGTGGGAGCGATGGTACGAATAACAGCGTGTGACACAGATCCACTGCCAGTTCCTAGGACAATAAACAAGATATTACAGTTCCAATGATCCTTCAAATGCCATGTATTAAACTTAAATATGAGCTCATTCTAGTGCAGTTCATATACATGTAGATTCTTTAAAATAATTCATCATATTCCTTGCTCCAGGTGGCAAAGGAGCAAGGAGTCAATAATTATCATGCCACTGTCTTCCCTCACTAACAAGATCTGTATCATAATGTTTGGGATTGAGTTAAAACAAAAAAACAACAAAAAAAACAAAAACAAAAATTGGCATCTTCTCATGATTCAAAGCTTTTAAGAGTTGACAGATCACCACAACAAACATGTCTGCTGCTGAGCATACAGGCTTTGAAACAGCCTGGTCAAAGTCTCAAGGGCAGATACATGATCTAGTCAGGCATTGCATGTGACTCCCTATTCAATGGCTGGCATGTGAACTTCACAATACTAACCTATAACTCAAGCCAGCAAATCCTAGACAAAGCAAAAAGAGTTCAAGGAGCTTCACTGCTGTGATGTATTACATGGAATGATGCCAAGTATGTCAATGACAAAAATTGTTGAATCATCTTGCCTACTGCCAGACTGTAACTTGTCAGACATTTGATTTATACTTTGACTTATAGCTGACAAAGTCAGATAAAGTTATTGATCAATGATGAACTTTTAAAAGATGACTCCCACTGGATTTCAAATTTCTTGAGTGGAATTTATCCACGTTTGCACTCATGTATGAACCACATGGGAGCTGCCAAGCCAGCCATTGGTGCTACCCAGGGGTGATGCTATTTTGAGGGTAGGGGCTACTGTAGAACAGAGGGAACAGCTGAGACAACAGATTGATTAATGTGGGGGCAGTTCATTCATCCTGCTTCAAACACCCTGACATGACAGCAGGCTTCCAGTCTGTCTGTAAGATTATCTAATACTTGTACAATGGTTGTACTTATTTGTGATACGAATATGTAACAGAATAGTGTTTCAAGATCTCCAGTGATAAATACAGGGTACATCTAGCATTTGACGATTACTCTAAAGATACACTTATTTGCAGGCAGCAATACATACCTCATCGAGTATCACCTATCCATTAGACACTCTCAGACACTACATATGCATATCACAGTTCTTCTACAATATAGACAGCTGTTCTGAGTGACATCATGGCGTATGTCATATCCATGACCCTGATATGAAACTTGTTTTTATTGCATGTTCATCACGAATGGGGTTCAAACCCTCCTTGGTCATGTATATCATATTTTATGACACTCTAAATAGGACCAGAATCCATCGAAAGATGAAGTGCTTGGCTAAGTGCAGCTTTACAGACAGTTATTTCCATCCCTGCAACATGTCTAGAAATGAAATATGTATTAAACGGGTAAAATTGCCTATGACAGTATGCCTCAGGTGTCTGTAGAGGATGTAGCAGAGGGGTGACATCATCTGTGTCTGACACAGTTCACTGACCTGTCAACAAGCCGGAGGGGGGAGGGCGACAACAGATGTGGTGGTGTAACTATAATTATGGGTCATGGCTGGGTGTGAGAAAATATGAATGATTTTATAATGCAATCACCACTGCTGCCAGGTGTACGACCTTCATATTCTGGTAATTACCTGACTCCACGACGACCGATCCTGGTTTTAGATCAAGTTGAAGAGTCAGCATACTTATGTCAGTGGTGTAGACAATCTGTGTCCGATGAGGCAGAGTCAGGGTCCACAGTTCAGGAGTAGGGTGTAAGGCATACACGTACCCTCTTCCCCCTCCACACAGAATCTTGGAGCCAAAACGCTTGCCGATGATGTCGGAATGTCTGAGGGCCCCGAAACGCGTTTGGAAGATGCGACCGCCTTCCAGTGTCAAGGGGAACATGGACTCGTGTGTCAAATAAATGATGACGACGTCCCCTTCCTCTACCCTCTCCTTGTACCTTACGAAACTCATTTTTGAAGCACTTTTTACAACCCTGTTTGGTACTGATGTATTTGTAAGAATTCGCAAACTGTCAGTCATCGCATGAATCTATTATTGATGTTGAGACGCACAGCTGAGTTGACAAAATTATGTTGATGCTGTACAGCCGGTTCTGGTTCAGTTCGTTCACATCGACCAAAACACACAAAAGATCGTCTTCCCAATGCAGGTTTTTGACTGCCAAATCTGCTGTGATATAGTACACTTCCCCTAAATCACCTGATCATTAAAGAAAGCCACGCAAAATCTTCAAAACACTTGCACAAATTTTCCCCCTCACACGTCTCGAAACCAGCACCAGGGCGCAGCCATTTTGAGAGATGTGCGCAAGAACAGTCACGTATGATGGCAGAAATATGTCGCAAAACTGTTGCCGGAAAACAGACGATATGTCGTAAACGTCCCGCTCAAACATGCGACCTATGTGAACGCCGTCCGGCCCACTACCATATAAGGAAACTTCCAACGCTGTCTTTTGTTAATCGACCAATCACAGCACAGGATTTCCTTGTCACGTGCACAATCGGCCTATTTATTCTCTGTCAG